CCCACAGAGTTTATATATAGACTGTGGACAATAAAAACACTAATGAACTTTCACATTCTGAACACCCAAATAATAAACTATCGAGATATAAATCTTAATGAAATGTCCTTCGCTTTAACTGAGCATTATCAAATGGAAAGCCTTTAAACCGGATCTTTTGTCAGCCTTCATTTTAATTTCAAACCTTTCTCACCATTAAAAAACATGAAGGTGAAATTAAATTGTCATTTAATACCATAGGGTTTAAAATAGCCCTTGTGATAGTCTGGGTGTTTTTATGCACTGGGAAGATATATGCATGATAAAGAATATTTATGTTTCATAAATAATTTCTAGTCTGGTTACTCACTGTAGAAAAAAAAAGTCAACTGGAGTCACTTGTGTGTTGTGAGAAATACTGTAATGAAAATGTTGTTTGTGAATAATATAGATTAAAAATTGGGGCTGGAATTGACCTTGTGTGTGTGCGTGTGTGGGAGGGGGGTTGTTGTTTGTAACTCACATCCTAAATTTTCTAAGTTTACAGGAGATGAAAAAGGAGATCATTTTAACTACTTCGAATTTCAGTGAGCATCAGAAAATCAGGAAAACATGTTTTATTAGCTACATTTTTAGACACCATTTCTGTCTTTTAAGTGAAATAAAATAAATCAAGTTTATAGAATTAATATATGCAGAGCTGTCTGACCATAAGTAGAAACATTCCACACATACTTTTGGGGTATTTTACATACATGTACAGAAATGCCAATTTACAAAAACATAAAACCACCCAACCTAGATTTTAAAATGGCAAAGCATGCTTACCTGGCCTGAGGAATGAAAGCTAATAAACATGCAAATACAATGCACCAAGTCAGCATCCCTCTCACTGAAGAATCCCAGCGTGAAATTACACTTAATTTGTGATTCACTGATTCTGTACACGTTCTTGTTTCGGGAAAGTTGAGTTTTAGGAGCACTGACCCTTTTGGATCAGTTCTCGTTTTGGTCCTCATTGTCATGCTACAATATATTTTCTCCATAAATGTCGTTTTAATCACGGTCCCAGTTGGAATGGACAAATTCTGCTTTCACTTCCAATGTACCTTGACTTGTCGTTATATTCTAAGTAGAAATCGACACAGATTTTCTTTCTCTCCTAATACAGAGAATTAATCTAAGTTTTTGTTCCAATCAATGCCAATGAATCAATCCCATTTCATGGGACTTATATAGAACATTGGTCACTTCTTTCATGCAGGCTTGCAAAATCCGACCTCCTACAGCTTCCAGTGTATAACTTGTCAGCCAGCAAGTTCCTTGTTTATCAAATTGTTCTTTTTCAATGAATTATTCAACAAACACACAACAAAGGCAGGTCAAGTATCTTCAAGTAACAACATGTTAATTCCTATCTAGAGTAACCCATATCTGTGATGCACTGCACTTCTCAAGTAATCAGGCCTTGTAAAGAAAATGTTTTTAAAAATCTGAGGATGTTGAACAGATTCTGTATCAGGTAAAATCAGTGCAGTGACGTCGGGTTTATTAAAAATAAGAGTTTTTGTCACATTATCCTCCAATTAGACCACAAATAGTCTTGTAATATCAATTACTGAGAATTGCACCACATCCAGGTAATATGGTAATCAGTTTCCCAGGAGGCAGTTTCTTTCGTAACCGTTAATTTCCTTTATGTCAAACCACTAATATTGAGCCAGTGAAATGGATGCCCTTTTCTCAAATCCAATTTCTACTGTTTTCCCTTCTGATTGCTTATAGTTCACTATTTATTAAGTAAGATGTAAAGTCACACTCCAGTGTAATCAAGATGTGGTAAAATTCCAGTGAACACTGTAGCAAAACTGCTCTATCTCTAAACATTTATGTTAATATTTTGAGTGTGGTTGACATCTGTCCTGACACAAAAGGTCTCACACTACTAATATGAAGCATGGGAGTGCATGGTGATCACAACATCACAGCATCATTCCTTTCCTGTCGCTTTTACGATCAACTTCCAACTTCTGGTAAGATCAGAGATTGTAATGTCAAAACATTCCTGTTATTCTACGTCAGCCATTTTTCCAGCATTAAAATCACATCCTCCTCACTTCACCTCAACCTGAAAAAATTCATCAAATCAACCAGGAAGTCGCAGTTTTCATGGTAACTGTTGCTTGTTTGATCCAGCAACTATATCAACAGCAAACTACTGTTCTTTGATCGGTGGAGTAACAAAATGTCTTCCTTCCCAACGTGTCCTGCCTTCTCTCAACCTCTGCTAATAGCCTGCTGAGTGGCACAAATACAGGTGATTCTAATGATAATTACACCTAGGTCCTACAGCATGCACGCCGCATGATTCATCTCTGATGACAAGCGGGTCCTTCCCTCAAGCTGAGAGAAGCCAGGCTGTGGTTACTCACTAAACTGACTGCTGAAACTGGCCATGCATTAAATAAGTATGGTCTCCTCCTGTGCCAAACGACACATATACCCTTCTAACAGCACTGCAATATAGCCATCCATACATATAGGTGGAGAGAATGGGTGAGACAAAAGACTTCAAAACCAGTCATGGTCCACTCGTAATATTCTCGCCTGTGACTACAGGTGGTCATTACTGGTCAAGCTTGACCTCATCTACCTATACAGGGCACTTGCTGAACTGTCCTAGGGCACCTGTCGTACTGGCTTCCTATACCTAGAGGGCGCCAGGTGATGAAGTTATCATAACTAATTAGCGGAAGTCTCACTTTATCTACTACCTGGTGTCAAAGTCTGAGAATTATCATGAATGGCACACCAATCAAAAAACAACATATCTTAAAGTACTTTGAGAAGACCCAAAGGCCAGTTTCTATTAATGGCAGTGAACAAATTTCCCAAGTAACACATTAAGCCAAAAGAGCGAGAGAAAAGGTGAGGATACAAAGAAAACAACAGGTCTGCCCTTGAAATACACTGTTTACTCTTGTGGTTTTCATATAGATCTGTGTTAAAGAGGGGTGGAGGGTGGGACTTACTATTGCCACCTTGCATTAGGGATGTAAAATCAAAGCCTGCCAGCAGTAAAATGACAAAAGGGATGGGGGAGGGATTATGTTGACATAAATACCTTAAGTTTCCAATTCATTTCTCACTATACCTCAGATCTAGATCAAAATTACTGCCCCTGACCACATCAGACTTTTGAAGTTTTCCTAATTAAACATCAAATCCAAAATGAAAACCACTTATTTTTTTAAAAAATAATTGCCGGTCTGAAAGTTCTTACAATAATAACAAAGTTTATCCAACCACTGAATATTATAAAACACAACAAAATTATTGAAAAAATTTTTTACCAAGACAACTCTTTTTGCCTACAGGGTCCCTGAAGACCCCCCCCCTCCCCCCCCCCTTGGACTAATGCACCCTGGGCATCTGATAAAGGTTTAAACCCTGCCAGAACAGTACTGAAAATTCACAGCAGAATGTCATCTGGCGAACAACAATAAAATAATAATGAGGTGATCTCATTCATTCACATCTTATTACATCTTTCCTATCATATTACTTCACCTTATCACTAATACAAAACCACCTGCTTCTACAGCATGACAGAATATATATATATATACTAGTAGTCACTCCTCGATGAACTGTGGTGATCAAAATACAGCAAAATCCATAGTTAATATAACTGAGCTCTTTCAAACTCTGTCTATTTGACTGTTACAGGCATACACTAGTCTAGAACTCTACTGTTACAAGCATACACTAGTCTAGAACTCTACTGTTACAAGCATACACTAGTCTAGAACTCTACTGTTACAAGCATACACTAGTCTAGAACTCTACTGTTACAAGCACACACCGTTTCCCATACTGATTTTGCAGTTCACCTTGTCTAAGAGGACTCCCTCCAGATATATAAGCTTTTTATTGATATGATATTCACATTGTGCGTTCGGCCACACTCCCATAAAGTGAACTTCCGTAAATGCTTTTTCAACTAGAGAAAACCCACATCATATAACACTATGGCTACTTCTACACAATACTGAATTCATAATGTTTTTCCTTTCAAGTATGATCTTGCTTTGGACTCTTCTTTCATTACTTTGCTCAGTTGTCAGCAGATTTTTACCCCGAGGATCAGAACGTCATCAGTTCTACTGTTGCTTTTCTTGATCTGTCTTTAGAATCTCTCTCCATATCTGCTAAAAGGGAACCACATTCTCATAGCAAAACATGTCAATTAAGTCTAGTACAAAAATCTGCCCACCTTTGTTAATCAATTGACTTTAGCAATGGAGTCATGCAGGATTAGGATCGCCAAATCAGATATTGTTGTTTCAGCACAAAACATCAATAATATATTGATTTAAAAACCTGTTCAATGAAAGAAACAAAGTAGCCTCACTGATGTTTATCTTTTTAATCAATGCAATATTGACTTTATTTGTGCACTTAATAGCCCATGCATTTGAAATGATACAACCATTCTAATTTGAAAAAAAAAAAAACAAAACATACTAAAATATCATTTTTGACTACTAGTACTTGATAATGATATATTAAGCCAGTGATAAATCCACTTCATTGGTGGTCCTCCCATAAATAGATAAACTAGAACAAAGGCCAATAAACCTATCACTAAAACAATAGTATTAATCAACTGATCACAGCAATGCATACATAAAACTTTTTCACACAAGTACTGAAGAGAAAAATATTCCAAAAGTGCTGAACTTTGGGGACACAACTTCAAATAACTGACTCTAGCCAATATAGTAAACCCTACAACACTAGTACACAACATACAATGTCTGGACAAAAAGTTTCCTCTCATTTTCAGGCACAAGTACCTTCTTATGTAATGAAAGAAAGACAAAGACATGATGACAGGTAATTTCAGGTACAAAGATAAGTAAATAGGTCTCAATGTTCCTGAAGCTGATATTGTGACACATTAGCCAAGGTGACACTGATATTATAATCAGCTAGGTTTTACACTGTCTGCTCCAGTGAATCTGTATTCCTCAGAGCTAATAACAAGAGAGCACTGAAAACTTTGCTGAAAGCCGTGTCCAACAACAGTATCACACAGACATAAGGACCTAGATTATCTATTCTGTGTCAATATAAAATGATTTATCTTGACCCATACTTTTTTACTGATATAATCTACCTGGTTTATGCAAACTTTAGCTGAACACTTCTAGACACATTGCAGAGAAAAGCCTCTTTTGTACCATCCAAGCCACAACACTAATTCAATAAGAGTCAAATTCTATCTTTGTTATATTCCAGAATATGTGTATCACCTCTGGCAAGTTTAGCAGACTAAATCTTTCCCTACTCACTGAACTCCAGGCAAAGAGAAACTGCTCACCACACACAGAAATAAGAGTAAGGACAGCATTTTAACTCGATTTTTGCTCCATATTCAGCATAATTCCCAACTCGAGCAACTCATCTAATCAGCAAAACAGTAATTCCGTGGTGGCAAAAAATCTGATGTGAACTTCTTCTTCGCCATATTTTTGGCACAAGAGTTGTCTCCCATGAAATACTCAAGTTTTTTTTACACCAGAATGCACAAAGAGAACAAACATATTTTCACCCTGCTACCACCATTTTATTCACCTCAAAGGAAAGTCTCCAACAGATAATCCTTTAGATTCCCAGCACAAAACAAACCACTGACAATACCCATGCCCTGCTAGTGCCTTTTTCACCCCCTAAAACCTAAGCCAAAGTTTCCAACTGACAACAAAAACTTGGTGAACTTTCCCTGACTTCACCGCACACCTCTCTTCACCTCCGACTTAGCAATATCTTCTTAAAGCACTTGAAGGTTATTAAAGTTCACAAGTTTGTTTCCAATTTATTGCCTTCTGTGTGTGTGTCCTGTTGGAATGGAACCCCAGCATCCTCTTCACGAGATACAATCAGACTGGAGAAAATAGCTTCCACTCTGAAAACTTTTTTTTAAAATAAGTCACAGCAAGTTATTTAGAAAACAATGTCCACATCTCCTGTTCTAGGTATAATATCACTTCCATTCCCATAAACTGCCTGGCGTGACTTCCTAAAAAGAACACACTGGATACTTTATCACTGTGCTTAGATCTACTTCCTGTGACTGATATATAATATGCTTCTACATGACGAATGTCCTCCAATAAATTGTCCACTAATGATGATGGTGATTCTTAAATCCATCATTTTTCTTCTGCTATGTAGCAGTGACAATTCACTTACTAGTTCCCAATGTCACTGCTTTGATGGCTCTGTCCCACGAGCTTGTTAACCGCAGGTGACGGTAATATTCCTCTCCAGGTGAAGTCTTCATAATGACCCTGTCATAAATCCTGGATCCCGACCCTAGCCTCATTTATCACCAGCCCAAACAGGGATTATTCATGTATTTTCCTGTGGTTGGCATGCAGCCCTGGGGCTCGTGATAGTCTGCACAGTCTTTGAACAGGTGGTCGTGCATAGAAATCCATGTTATATGAAAGCATTTGTAAATGTACTACACCTGAGCATGTATAATCAATGAGGTGCTCTATGCATGGTAATTAGGCACTACAAAAAGCTATAAAGGTGCCTTGGTACAAAATTATTGGGGGGAAAATTAATTAGGTAGGGTGGGAGAAATTGAACGGTGGGATTCTGATATCTTCTGATTTAAATCATGCTCTGCGTTTGTTGGATATAAATTATCAGTTAGAAATGTGCTTCATTCATCAAAATCTTTCATGAGTTCCCGTTAATCTTTTCATCTATCTGTATTAATTTTTTTGACCTGCTTCTCCCCCAGTTGATTTTTTGTTCACTTTCATGTTCATGTCAAGTAGCTGTGCAGTAATATCAAGTTAATATTTATACATGACAATGTATGAACTATGGCTTTTCATCAACCAACAAGGGAAAGGAGTTTTTTGTTTTTGTTTGATGGTCTATGTCATATTTTCACATTGTTCGGTTAATAATTTAATAACATTTGTATTGAGTGTATAAACATCCCAGGAGCAAATATAAGGATCATAGTTAAAAGAACACTTCATAAAAGTGAACAATAGTTTGTGGATTCATGTGAATAAATCTCTTTAGTACCTTTATGCTAATGAAAAATTGATTTGACTGCAACATCTGGAAAGACTGCCACAGTAACTAACCTAGTGCTAGGTATTATTACTATTACATTCCTTTAGTTTCAGGTATATTCTGTTGAAAGAAGCATGACAAACAACAGACGTAAATCTTTGCATTTTGAGAACCATGATAATGTATACAGTACTGCAGGTGGCTACGATAAAAATCAATTTTCTCTAAGCTCAGACGTGTGAGACAATGTTAAAATTCATATTCAGACTTCAATGCCTTTAAATGGACAATCAGTATGACTACAGTGACATGATGTCCTCACTATGAGGTGTTAATTTGGTAACTGGTCACTTTGTGGTCAAGTTGTCATGGCAACCATCTAGTAACAGATACTGTGAATCATTTAATAGATTTTTACAGTTGTGTATATATCAGCTAAACTGCATGTCTAATGATCTTCATGCACTTAGGAAAAGGGCTTGATCAGAACAAAACTGATCCAGAGATCACATATGGCAAGCACTTGACAATGAATTCCCCGCCTCCCACGCATGCTGTCCCTGCAGGGGCAGAGCAATTACATCTTGACATGCTTTTAAGTGAGTTGTACCATATTTGATTCAGGGCTTAGTTAGTCCGTTGATCAAGTTGGTTCTGAACAGGCCTTAAGACTGCAGCACTCACCTGGCATCAGTGTACCCGGCCTGACAGGTACAGGTGTAGTTAGCAATGCCATCCACACAGGTAGCTCCATTCTGGCACTCGTTACCTGGGCAATCATCGATGTTGTTCTCACATAGCCTTCCATTGAAACCCAGGGGACACTGACAGGTGAAGTCGTTGAAGATGTCTACGCAGGTGGCTCCGTTCTTACACGGGCTAGGAGCACAGACGGGGTCTGGGGTGCAGGGGGTGACTATGCTGGCCTTGGTCATTACCTGGAACTTCTCCAAGCTGCTGTCATTAACCAGTGCGGAGTTGAAGAAGAACGGGAGCAGGTAGCGCCCAAGTCGGACCTCATCCATGCACCCTTTGAATTTGCTCAACGCAGACTGTGTGTTTGTATTTGGTGATATGGCGACAGTGGTGTCGTCAATGCCACCCAGGAATACCATGTCACTGCCTCTGATCACCTGAGCCAGAGTGACCGCTTGGACGGGCTGGGGCTTGGACTTGGACTTCTCGTCCTGACCCTGGTCCATAGCGAGAGTCAGGTGGGTGTCATTGACCACTATGGACACGTTGTGGTACTGACCATCAGTGACCGCCCAGTTTGTCGGCAGCTCAGAACTTTCACCGAGGTTGTACTTCAGATTCAGTTTACGTTCGGAGACTTCGATGGTGAGGAACCTTGACGCAGCTGCATTGCTACGAGCATGGAAGATGATAGCATTCTCTTTTCTTGTGCGGAATTTGAGGCTCATTTGGTTAAAGGTGGTGGTCGAGTTGATGGTGTTGTTGTAGCGGAGGAGACTGTCCATTCCATTGAATGTGGCCTCTGTTATACCTGAAAATATAAATATACATTGTGTAACACAGGGATATTATACATCACAAGTCATCTGTCATACAGGATAAAGAGTAACTCAAACAAATGTCACTTAATCAATTACATTTAGCTTATGAAAATTATGGTTTTTCAACATACAGAAAAAATGCAGGCAAATCCTGAAAATCAGCAGCTTACACCCCATTTCCATAGATTTTTAGATCGATCTATCTCTGTGGGGAGTCTCACTAGATTACTGTCAGCTTGGCCGGCTTAAGCGTCTGTCCCGCCTACTAAAAGCTGTAAGGGGGTAATTAACTATGGTGCCCGCTCGGCTGACTGCAATTTAGCGTGAACCCCCAGGGAGTTAGGTCGATCTAAAACAATCTTTAGATCGATCTAAATCTCTGGGAAAGCACCCTTAGGCACATTTCTCAGAACCCTTTTCAAAAAGATGGATGGACTTGTCACTTTAACCCTCATTCCAAACACATTCAGTGTACAACCTGTCACACCTAACACAATGTCTCCCACCATCACCCTATACTTACATTCATAACCATCAGCCAGGTCCCTGCAGGTAGAGTCCTCTGGGCACTTGGAATACATGCAGAAATCCAAGGCACTGCAGTTCTTACCCTTGTAACCCTTGGGGCAGTCACAGCTTTAGAAAGAATATAAATATATATCATGCTAAGCACTTGGAGAGAATAAAGAAAAAGTGCCAATGAAGGAATGTGAATATACCTTATCATTTCAACCCTTAGAGAATCACAGTTCTTAAAAAAATTGAAATAAATATTTCACCAGTGGCATGCAATTCACAACCATATTTATATCTTCTTTCAAATCATAACCAAACTACTTCCTTACTGGCTTTTCAAATATTTAACAGGATAAAAAAAGCATGCCAACAAAACTGTAGAATTTACTGCAGAATTTAACTTCCTATGAAAAAGACATGGAGAAATAAATAAAAAGACTTTTTTGACAGATAGTTTTAAAATCTAAATACCTCTCACAGAAGATGACTCAGAATATACCAACAATCATGCAGCAATTGGATAAAACAGCTAAGGACATAATTTATCAGGTAAAATATAGATCAATCAAATAATTTCACCTTCAAATTAGAACCACAAAATATCTAATCCCAAGCAAGTATTATAAAGCATTAATTTTCCTATACTTACATAAAATCGTTAAAGAACACATTATTACATGTGCCGTTATTTTCACAAAGATTTCCAGTGGCGCAGAGATCGTCCGTCTGCTCCCCTTCCACCACACCATCCAGGGTCACCGGGTACGACTCGTTCAATTGGAAATCGTCGGGAACGGAAACGTTGTAAAACAGCAGCAGTTTGTCATTGAGCCGAGCATCCTGGATTGTACCCTTGAAAGGTTCCTGGACGGTAGCAGAGTCAGGGTTATACTCAACAAGTGTTTGTCGCCTGCGACGCCCACTGGAGGAGGAGCCCAAACCGGGCAACCCACCAACGTACATCTTTGCTGGATTCAGCAAGGTGGCTGTCATGGTCTTTCCTGATAACCTGACCGAATCGATACGGATTTCTAATTTGTCACGGTTTTTATCAACTTCGATCAAATGTTGTGAACCATCATTCAAATTGCTGCCCAGGTTGTCTTCATATCTTTTATATCCTTGCTCTGTGGTGTTGAACAGATTGAGAATGACATGCAGACTTGTGCCTTTCAACTCTGCAGATATGAAGGCTTTGTCACCTGGGCTATTAGTATTGACACCGCCCAGGTAGAAAATAAAGCCATCAGGTTGGCGTGTGCGTATAAACATGCTGATGACATTGACATACTGAAGGAGATTTTTGTCTCTAGCTGGAATAGTAAACTGTGCCAGACTTGACGATGAACCTTGACTGAAAGTGGCAGCTGGGAAGGCTGGAAAAGATAATGTTATCGGTGTTATTACTTGAAAATATTACAGTCACTCTGTTAAAAAAATTACAAAAGTCATCATTTTCAAGGCAAAAACAAAATAATCAAGGAAATAGTTTTTAATAACTGTATCAAGAAATTGTATCAAGTTTTTTCTAGAAACCAAGTGGTGATACTGGACATTCAAACTCTATACAACAACAAATTCTAAAGTGAAAATAGACATATCTCACTCGGCACTCTTCTCTCACTTACTCTGGTTACACTGGGGTCCAGTATACTTCCTAAGGCAGCGACATTTATACTGCCACCAGAGGTCAGTACATACACCCTTGCCGCTACACGGGTCGGGAACACACTGGACCTCCCTGTTGCATCCTGGGTAAACTCCCACCAAAGAATTCGGCACATCTTGAGGAACAACCAGCTGCCCGTTCAACACAATATCTCTGGTGCAACCAATGAATGTGACTTCTGATTGGTCAATTGCCCCTGCCATCACTTTACTACCAATATAGGTTGTGCCGAAGGTGAGGGGGGAACTTACATTGATATTGTCTTGATAAGTACACACGCCACCTGGGCAATGATTTCCATAGATATGAAGCTTTGTGCTCCCCGCTGAATTCACCGCCAGTTCGATCTGGTGCCACTCTCCGTCTTTTAATCGTTGATTCTCCGATGCAAAGCGGACAGGATTGCCTGTTACCTGGTTAAAGGTGAACTGTAAGTTGTGTCCCGCTAGTGTCAGGAGCATGCTGTCGCCAGACGGTAACTGATGGTACATCAGGACGCCGCTGAGCAGTGTGGTACGCAGCCACAGCACCAGGGTGAAATTCGACCAGTTTTGTGTCGAATTAAGCACCATGTAGGAGGTGCCATTGAAAGAGGCTGACGTGGGAACTTCACAATAAAACCCCGTGAACCCTGACGGACATGAGCAAGTGTAGTTATGCACAGCAGGAGTTTCAGTCACCAAATATGGCCGGCAGGTGGCGCCATTTTGACAGGCGTTATTTGCACAACCAATCAGCTGTACTGTGCAGTTCTTTCCGCCATATTCCGTCCCCTGTACAGGTCCTGCACACTGACACGTGTAGTCTGCCAGTTTGTCCGTGCACGTGGCCCCATTTTTACATGGCTGGTACTCGTCGCACTCGTTAATTTCTGTCTCACAGTGCGTGCCAGTCCAGCCTGCCTCACATGCACATGTGTAGCCATTCAATATGTCGTTACAAGTGCCATGCACACACGGGTTGGAATTACATTCATCAATGTTCACTTCACAATTCACACCTGAAAATCAGAGGGAATTCCAACAATCATCATTCAGCAACATAAACTAAATATCACAATAAACAGAAAAAGTGGGCAATTTCTTTAAAATGTGATGATTGATCTTACAACTTTGAACATATCAACTACTCTTCTGATAATAAATAACAAACACAATTTCAAAATTTCTTAAATTGGTATTTGATATCTGTTACAGTGACACCAATCAATTGATTGTAACCAAACCCTTTTAGTGGACTGAAATGCAGCATTGTGTTAGTTGAGAATTCTGCATTGCTGTAGTTGAGACAAAAAATCTCCTCTAGATTGTTTTTGCTCACCTGTGGACCCCGGAACACACTCGCACACATAACCAGCCGCAGTGGAGAAGTTAAAGTTGTTGAAGTTCAGGTAGCCCTGCTGGTACAGGGAGAGGTCAGAGCGCTCGAGACACGTGCTGTTATAACGACACGGGTTGGACTCGCACTCGTTGATGTCGATCTCACAGTTCTTGCCCTGGTAACCTTCCCAGCATGTACAGTTGTAGTCCTAAAAGTGAGGAGTACACATTCCAAGGTTTATTTAGAAGGTTGTTCCATGGAAAGAGCAAAATTTAAAGGAAAAGAAAGAATAGTGTATTTGTCAATGTAATAATTGAAGGAAGATCTGAATGTTTATCACACTGGTGTTCAACACATTAAAATGTCTTTTATATTAAAAGGTGAAAACTTTGCATATCTCAGACATAAATGCCCATAAAAGATGGTCATGATAAAATACCATGTCGTAATAACTGTAATACTGTCTGTCAGTGCCTTGTAAATACTTACCACTTCTTCTTAAATGAGGGAAGAAGGAATGAAATGAAATGAAATGACATGAACTTACAGTTGTGTTAATACCAAACTGCAAAGAGGAAGCTAGAAAATTCTGGCTGGAAAATCTTTCAATTTATGTAGAAGAACTATGCTTTCGACACTCACGTTAATCCCGTCTGTGCATGTGGCTCCATTCTGACAGGGATGGTACACGGCGCACTCGTCTATATTCAGCTCGCAGTGGGTGCCATTGAAGCCAGTGCCAGTGCAGTTACAGACATAGCTAAAAAATGGGATAGAAGAGTTATTCAGGGAGAGCAGAAACACACACAATCAGAAGCCATGTAGAACAGTTACATTAAAACATGAACAAGGAAATGCCACTGTGATAACATTAGGTATGGATAAAAAATGCTTGTTAATGGTTTTTTCTGAATTCAATTAAGAATATATTCTTATTAAAGCGACTTATCAAAAATGTTTAAAGGATTTGTAAACTATTAAAATACCTAATAAGTAGAAAAATAGAATTGTTGGAAATCTCTACTACTTGTTGCCAAGATGTCTTTTCACCCTTTCTTATATGCTTAAAATATTTTTGAAACATTTGTGCAACACAGATTTTTCTCTAAACCTATTTCTTATATAAACAGTCACACAATAAACAACAAAATGCATGCGGTTGCAGATTACTATAACTTCAACATGCACAGTCACACACACAAGAATATAATATAAGATGTGTTATAGACATATATATAGCATATGTATGTATATGATGGTAGATAGGCTGCTTTTGAAGCTCTATCAGTCTTGTGAATGGGTTACAATACACAGCTGATTTGACATCTTTGACACGTTACGATACAGATGCCCTGAATTATTCTTTAAATTAGTTTTAGGACAAAGATCTCATTTTCAGTGATGATATTTCAATATTATTAATGTATTAATTAAAATCATCATACAGAAGATGCCTCTTTATCTTAATATGTGTTTGTGCTCCAAGCGGTATTCTATTCAGTGCTGCAGTTTGTGGAGGAACAAACATAATAACAGTAGATTTTAACAACAACAGTATTGTACAACCAACACTATCTAGGAATACAGAAATTGAAACATGCACGCAATGCATTGGCCTCTTTACCTTGGGATAATGGAGAGCAAAATAAAAGTATAATAATATGAATAAATTGAACTAAAGCTATGAATTCAACACAAAATATTTTAATTTCTTTTCTCTTTTTACATCATGAATGATTAGTACATTAAAAGGCCTAGGGTTAAGTTTTATTAAGCATGCCTTTCCATAACTCGAAAGTGGTTTTTGTTCCTATATTAAAACATATCACACACACATTTTCTCTAGAATAGAATGACCATTAAGTTAAGACCAGATTCAGGTTCTTACGAATGGTAAAATGTGACATTTTATTCCTATAAGTATTTCTGTACAAAAAAAAAAAAAAAAAAAAA